CTTATGTAAATATATATAAACCGTCAATAAGCCAGAAAGGATGCTCAAAATCATTAGCTATCAGGGAAATACAAATCAAAGCCATGATGAAACCCCTCTTCCCAACCACTAGGGATGTTTATAATAAAAAGGACAGATAATAACAAGTGTTAACAAGGGCTTGGACAAATTAGAACCCTCATATCCTGGTGGTTGGAGTATAAAATAATGCAGCGCTTAAAAAAAGATTGCAGCTTTAAATTCTTTGTTAAATTCCTTTGAGGTGGTAAAACCTGCTGCTAATAGAGAAAGAGAAAAGCTGCCCTTTAGGGAAGGAGTCTTTTTTTTTTTTTAAGACTTTTTATTTGTTTATTTGGGAGAAAGACAGAGATAGCGAGAGAGAGCACAAGCAGGGAGGAGAGGGAGAAGCAGGCTCCCCACTGAGCAGGGAGCCTGATGCAGGACTCCATCCCAGGGCCCTGAGATCATGACCCAAGCCAAAGGCAGATGCCCAACCTACTGAGCCACCCAGGTGCCCCATGAAGGAGTCTTACATAGAGACAGGAGAAGTGGCTGAGTGCATGCAATGCTAGGAAGCACATGGAAAAGAGGCGGAAGCTGAAAGGATGTGAACATGAGGTCCGAGAGAGCAGGGAGAAAGCTGCTTACAAGGAATAAAGATGGGCTCCTTATGGGAAGGAGGAAGAGAGGAGAAAGTGACGCCCTAGGTATGAGTTAGTCTGGGCACAGGCTTAAGCTGGTATAACAGGAGACCCCCCCCATACCATACAGAAAACAGAACTTTATTTCCCTCTTCTGTAACAGTCCAGAAATGAGCAGTCCAAGCAGGTGGGTGTTGTTCTGTGCAAGCTTTCACACCCAGAAACCTACTTTTTGGACCCTTCCATTCCTTAGACTATTGTCTTGGACTTCATGGCTAGGATATCCACCTTCCCTTTGCAGGAGTGCCCTATTCTGTAAGGAATGGAGAAGTTCCATTAGGGAGCATTAAAAAAAGACAACCCCCAAAACCCAAGTCTTGAGATACTGAAAGAGTCTCACTTAACTCAAGTTTACAGTTAGGAACATTCCATACCCAAGAAACAATAGTTAGTGTTTGCTTCTCAAGAAGAGGAAATGAGGGGCGCCTGGGTGGCTCAGTCATTAAGCATCTGCCTTTGGCTCAGGTCATGATCCCAGGGTCCTGGGATTGAGCCCTGCATCGGGCTCCCTGCTCAGCGGGGGGCCTGCTTCTCCCTCTCCCACTCCTCCCTGCTTGTGCTCTCTCTCTTGCTGTGTCTCTCTCTGTCAAATAAATAAATAAAAATCTTTAAAAAAAAAAATTAAAAAAAAAAGAGGAAATGACTGGGGCACCTGGGTGGCTCAGTCGTTGGGCGTCTGCCTTTGGCTCAGGTCATGATCCCAGGGTCCTGGGATTGAGCCCCACATCGGGCTCCCTGCCCAGCGGGGAGTCTGCTTCTCCCTCTCCCACTCCCCCCGCTTGTGTTCCCTCTCTTGCTGTGTCTCTCTCTGTCAAATAAATAAATAAAATCTTTCAAAAAAAAAAAAAAAGAAGAGGAAATGACCTAAGCTTGATGAAGTCTGACTCTAGTTTTGAAAAACCATGACAAATATTTAATGGCATCTCTTACACCTCAATTTTAAAGCAATCTTCCATTTCCTGGAAGAATCAGGAAAAGTGAAAAAATACAGTATTCATTTGTATTGGGTTTGCTATACTGCTACTAATTACTATCTATCAGACTGCCTTACACTTATATATACAAATATATATGCCTTACAGTTATATACACAAAATATAACTTGTAAAAATAAGGGAGCAGATTCACAATCATTGCCCTACCTATAGAGAGTTCTAATTTCTTTCTGAAGCAAAGCACTGGTCCAAACATAGGCATTTCTCTTAAAAAACTGTTTCACTTCCAACTCACATACTTACTTCTATTTTTTCACCCAGGTGCATTTTTTTAAAAGAACCCTCTAAAAAACTTCCAGCAGTTGAATTTGGTGGGAAATTGTGTGAGCAGTGACTGATGGCTTGCCTTCATGAATGTATTTCAGAATCTTAAGCAATTAGGTTTTTTTGACTTCAGTACTACAAGATTTTTGCCTGATGAAGCATTTGTCAGGAAAATTAGCCATGTGTTATCAAAGTTAACTTTTGTGCAAGAAGCTAGGTTTGTTGGGTGGCAGTTTGATGATGATGATATTAGTGTTATTAAAGGTGCTTTTAAACTAGTAACTTAAATAAAGGCCACCCTGAGCCCATGAATGCTCTGGGGACCCCATTACTTTCAGTGTGGTGACTTAATAATCTTTGCTCATCCAGTGCAAGAGTCTGAAAGTATGTGGCAATCCATTATATAACCTAAAAATTATCCTTTCTCAACAGTGTCTGCCTAACTTGCCCTTTCCAAACTTTCTCTTCCTTTCCTGATATCTGGATGATGTGTGACACCTTGACCTCTAGCTGGTCTCTTCCATGGAAATTTACTTCCTTAGTTTCATCATTCAAAAAAAAGGAGGAGGATGCCAGGAAAATGAGACCAAAGAAGAGGAGGAAGTGAGAGGGAGTTTCATCTGATAACATGTGCAGAAGTTCTGTGTCTTATCACAGGTATGATTACCTGGTACTTGAAGGGATATTTTGTTTATCCTTGTGTTCCCTCTGGTCTCAAGAATAGGTCACAAAAATTGATATACTGTGTGCACATTTACTTAGTACAGTGCATGGCATGTACTGGATGCTCAACAAGTATTTGCTGAATTAAATTAAATGACCAATAGATAGCTATTGAATAAGGAAACAAGCCAAAATTATTTAAGATCAGAGAGAAAACTCCATGTATGTTCTTTATTCAAACAGTGTGGTTCAAACAATTTGGAATGTAAAAAGCATTTCCTTATATAAGAAGCAGATAGACTCCCCAAAAGATCAGCATACTTTAGTCAAGCAAAAAATTGGCAGTTTACGAGCAGCTAAATCAGAGGCTTGAAATTCAGGACCTCTCCATTTGCTGATACACATATGTAATTCTAACTGTATCTTCAGAGATTAAGGAAGAAAGAAAAATGTAGCCCATTCTTTTGTACCCTACGAATCTAAGGGTACCCTGTCCTAAACTTTTCTCCAACACCCCCCAAAATAATCCTTCCCCACAAAGAAAGAAGTCTAAGAAAAATCTGTTTGATCTTAACAGATTTAAGTCAAGGCAAGTCTGAGATAAACAAGAACCTAAATGCTGTTAGCCTGCAGTTCACCTTCTATTCTCATGGCACCTCAAATTAATGGCTTGGGTGTTGGTATCGGTAACACTTGGCCTGTATGCTGAGGTAGTCACTGGAAGGACATTCTGGGCACAATATTGTTTAGCAAGTGGGCATAATCTGTAGATTTAGTCATAAAATTTTAGAGCTGATAGTTTACAGATCAACTAATTCATTCCCCACCCTAACTGTACAGATGATAAAGCTTAGAGAAGTTAAATGACTTGCCCATGGTAACCAAACTACTTACATAGTGGCAGCATCAGGCTCAGAATAAAAATCTCTTGACTTCTAGCCCAGCGTTTTTTCTGTTACAGTATGTTACAGTATGGTATTTTCTCAGACAGGGTTAATTACACTCCATGGAACTTGCTCTTAATCACAAGCCATGGGCCAAGTAGTCAATTCAAACTTCTTTCTTTGTTTAGCTTGATGTGACACTGGCAAGATTTACTAGTAAGAATACTGCCTCTAGGCCTATGTTGGCCAAGTTTCTTGTTTTTATATCCAGATGCTGGCCAGAGCTCGGCAAATAAGACATCGTTATATAATAATGCATGGACCAATGTCACCTGCAGCAGTTGGCATGGGTGAATTTCAGCAAGTAGAGCCAATTCCTTTAGAACCCACAGGAAATTTCTTAAATAGTGTAGGTGGGTATCAAAGCACCTTTGTTGGGACAACTACACAAGTGTTGCCTCTGAAGAGGTGTTGAGGAAATAGGCATTTAACATCATGCAGAATTGTGTTCAGTACCTGCACACTTTAAAAATCCCATGAGAATGGAAAAGACATGCAAAGGGTGGCAGCGCAGACCTCTTAATCATCACTCAGTACATGGCAGTTCTTCAGATTTCATGGGCAGTCGACCCACTTGGATGAGGTCAACGGAGGAAAAATCACCCTGTAATAGTGGACCAATAATAGGTATACTAATAGTTGGAGGACGTAAGACAAAGGACAAGGAATTGGTTGCCTTAGTACATTTTATGAAGTTTCATTTTCCCCAGCAGTCAAGGTAGTGTGCGCTCTATTTCTTCAGCAGGTCAAATGCCTGAACAGGGTTGCAGATATTAAAGACAATGACCAACTCCTCACCATGCAAAAGCTGGGACATGGTCACTTATTTATTACAGGATGACGACAGTTCTGCTTGACAGAGGTGGCTTCTTGGATGTTTGTGATTCCACTGTGAAATCCGATTTGGAAGTGTTGCTCATATTTTAAAAAGGATGAGTTGACTGAAGAAACTTGCAAATTCTTCAAAAACAAAAATCTTTTCTACATAGCTGGCTGATGGCTGGAAAAGACCTAAATCTCCAGGAGTATTAGATTCCAGAAAAGTTGAATCCACTTTCAAAATACCTTTTTAAAACTCTAATTGTAAAACTCTTGATAAAAACAAAAAACAAAAAACACCTCAGGTAATTTTTGTCATTTGCTGCTTGTGATACTTTTTATATGTAATACTGGCTATGTTGGCAAGTCCTTAACATTTGCATTTGGAAAATAATAAAAAAATAAAATAATCCATGATTCTCACACTTCATCACGGTTAACAATTTATGATTTCGACAAAGCAAAACAAAATAAGTTAGAAATTGCCTGTTACACATCTAACAATACTGTATTTTATAATCTAGGGTCTATTATGTTTTGGTAAAATTATATAATATAAACTCAAATTGTTTATGCAACTATCAAATCCCATATTACGCATGGAATTCCATATATTTTGTAATATATTTTAGATTTTGTAATATATTTGATATATTTTGTTAATAAAATGAGAGATTAAAAAGTCAACTAATGAAAAGGTGACGAAAAAGATAAATTCCATCATTATGTCAGTATTTGGGTTCTTGGTGTTTTTTGTTTGTTTGTTTTATTATGTCAGTATTTGATTAAATGTAAGAGAGAAAACTGGGATTCCTTCATTTCACATTACCAAAGGATTTGGTATTCATTTAAGCAAAATAAAACACTTTGAGGACCACGGACTCTTTATAAATGTACTGAAATCTTTTAATGAGAAAAACTATAAAAAACGAATAATTAAAAATTTCAAATTATGCTAGATAGGAGAATATGTTCTAAAATTTCTGATAAAAAATTCTGCTTTCCTTTTGCAAGACATAAATCAAGAGGACCTCAAAGAAAAATGTAGCAATTAAGTTTGGAAAAGCTATAAAAGAGACTTTTACTTTGAAATGGACATTTTTTTCCTTTCCTAAAATGTATACCATTATTCAAGAAGCATATGTTTATAAATTTCACTGAAGAAAATACTATACTTTTAATAATGTGACAGATCTGCTCCATTGAGTGGTTCTCTTATTGTAAAGATGATGTCTATCACACTGCAGTCAACTACAAAACCAAAAATAGCAAAATTCAAATTTAGAGAAACACGCTTTCTATAGGAAGCCTATTTAAACCTTATGACATTTAGAAGGTTCTCAACAGCCCCAAATACATTTTACAAAAATATAGCTTCATCAGTTTCATGTAATGTGAACAAACCCACTATTCTCTAACATTTAGAGTAAATGATTGAACAGTCAATGCACAGTTGGATTACTAAATAAATTGGAAGTCAAGAAGTCAATATTCCTCATAAAAATAAATTAATTTACAGTACATCATGGTCTTGGTTGTCTATTGTTAGTTCCATATCTACTTGGCATATTTGTAAAACCAGTCCTGAATCCTTGGGTTGCTCCAATTCCTGGAACTGCAAGTCCTTGATTAAGCATGCTACTATAAGGTGTGTGTCCATGATTAAGACCCAAACCATAAGGTCTTGTTTGGGTGTTTAGCAGAATAACTGGGTTCATGTTTTTCCCAGGGGTGTTAAATGAAAATTCTGGAGGTGGACTACTAGGTTTAGCTGGAGTCGATGTGACAGGGTTTGAATCATCAGTACCCTTTAAAGGAGGCATTGGAATTATGTGATGATCTGAAAAGTTTAGGACATTGGCTGCAACAGGCCCAGACAGTAAGGCAGGTCTAATCCAATCATCCTTGAAAATCTGAACAGTCAAGGTAGACACTAGAGTGTACAGCCTGTTGGTCACATGAGCAAGAACCATTTGTTCGTTTGCATCTCGTCGAATTCTTACATGAACTGATCCAGCCTAAAATGGGCAAAATCATAGGAAAAAGATCCTTAAAATTATACCACTGAAAATTCCATTAGAAATAAACATTTATGATTTGGCTGTAACTGTACTTGGTATTTTTCTTTATTTTTAATTTTTTAAAAGAGATTTTATTTATTTATTTGAGAGAGTGAGCGAGTGAGTGAGCACGAGCGGGGTGAGGGGCAGAGGGAGAAGCAGACTCCCTGCCAAGGAGGGAGCCCGATGCAGGGCTCGATCCAGGGACCTGGGATCATGACCCAAGCTAAAGGCAGACACCTAACCGACTGAGCCACCCAGGCACCCCTTGATATCTTCTTTAAAACAAGAGAAAGTATAATGTCTCGATATTCCTTAAAGATTACTCAGTAGTGATTATCAGTGTGAAGAGCTAATGAAGTTCTTTATGACTCTTTAAATAAAATGGAACTTTTAAAAATATATAAAAAAGAGAAATACATACAGGAGGAAGACAGGCATGTTATAACCTAAGGCAGAATATAAAGTATATAGAAAATGCAGTGGAAGGATAGAAAAGGTAGCTACTAATTCAAATTGAGGAAGACTTCAAAAGAAGATGGCATTTGATCTAGGGTTGATGGTTAAATGTAATTTCAAAAGGTGGAGACAGGCATTCTAAGCTGAGGGAAGAGCAATTAAAATGCATGGCATATATGGATAAGAATAAGCAATATTACTATGAATAAAAAAGTACAAATATTACAGGGGGCAGAAAAAGAATGAAAGAGAAAAACAAGAAAGAAGGAAAGAGGAAAGAAAGAATACAGAAGGAAAGAAAGATAAGCAGGCAGTAAGGCTGAAAGAAAGGCTAGCAGAGGACTCTAAAAATCATGATGAGTTTGAATAGCAAGAATCAAGCAGAAGTAAAATAATCAAAGTTCAGAAAAATTATAGGTATGAATGACTGGTAATTAGGTAGGAAATGATTGCAAGTCTAGGTTAGAAATGAAGAGGGCTGAGACAGGACAAATATAGTGGGATCAGAGAGGGACAGATGGGTTGATAATATCCCATGGGTTAGATGTGTGGGGACTTGATACCCAACTGGATGTAGTGGATAAGGGAGATGGACCGACTAATCCAAGATGATCTCAAGGTTTCTAGCCTGGGATACTAGGAGGACAGAGAACCCCAGGCATTACAATGATGCCTAGAAGTCCCTTTAGTGAAAAGACATTTATCATACATTTTTATTTTTACATCTATTTTTTAGATTTTATTTATTT